ACAGAGATGAGGAGGGGGCGCGGGTGGCCCCCTCCGCCTCCTCCGCTATGCGGATCAACCAATCAGCGCTGCCGAGGCCTGGAGGAGGCGGGACCGCGACCGTGAGGCCTGGAATTCGGGGCCTCACACCTCGCACAGGACCCCAGGTCGCCTGTTCGGCCCCCGTGATGGAGGTGAGCGCCAGAGCCACCCAGTCACCCATCCCCTGGAAACAGTACCTGCGCACCCAGGAGGCAGGCAGTGATCGCCGGCACCAAATGAGATTGCTCAGAGGACTGGGGAGTGACCACTACGCTGTCAACGTGGAGTGTTGCCAATTGTACATCACGAGGTTGCACTGCAGCTCCAAGAGGAGTGGGGTTAGGAAAGGCTTCTCGGAGGCATCTGAGCAGGGAGCCATGAAAGCCATGGTGAGGGAAAGACAGACAAAGGCCGTGGGCCAGGAGGGAGCGGAGAACCCACTTGGATCCAGGCTTATGCACATCCTTACTTCCGATTGGCTCCGAGTCCTTTGGTGAACCTCTTCGCACCTCTGGGCCCCAGTCGCCTCATTTTTTAAAGCGGGCTTTGAGTTATTAGGGCAATGTTTCTTTCTCTCTTTTTTTCACACTTATAAGAAAGTTTATTTAGAAAGTCACAGAAATAGAAGTGATCCGTGGAAGAAAGGGGCTCAGGAAACAAGTTACAGCGGCAAAAGAAGGGCGCTTGGAGCTTAGGAGAGAGGCAAGGAAAAGGGCCTGGGGGAAGGAGGCGGGGAAAGGCGAGGGTGCACTCCATTGAGAGAGTTGCTAGGGCAGTGTTTCTCAACTTTGAAGTGTTTTGTCCCTGTGGCAACTAAAGTTCATTCCTGTGCCGAGCACCAGGTAGGGAACAAAACAGTCACACCCCCATCCTCATAGTTTAGTGAAGAAGACGAGGAAAAATCAACACCACACAACTGGTCGCATGATTACAACTGTAGTGAGGTCCGTCAAGAAGGAGAAGGAGCAACGAGACAGTATAGAACAGAGGGTTTGCCTATATAAAAAGAAGTATGTGTCTATCATTTTACTTTTTATCCAGTCCCAGAGGTCGTGTGTCTGTCCCCCAAATCCCTCACCCCACACTTGGCTTTCTCCTGCCTCCCTAATCTACACCAATGGGTTTCATGTAACCCACTTACATCTCCTCGTTTCTTGTAAAATATGTTTGTATTGATACTTTAAAGAAAGAGAAAGGGAGAGGGAGAGAGAGTGAAACATGGATCCGCAACCTCCTGCACACCCCCTACTGGGGAGGAGCTTGCAACCCAGGCGTGCCCTGACCAGGAATGGAACCTGTGACCTCTCATGCAAGGGATGATGCTCAACCAACTGAGCCACACCAGTCAGGGCTTACATCTCCTCTTTTGTTTGTAATGTATAAAATAAGGTGCAGAACTGTCATTTTCCAGAGCATTTTCTCAATCTGTTGAGGTTTTGCTTCCTGGCAATTGTCCTCAGTTTGGCTCAAATAAATTTGTGGACTAATAAGGGCCACATGCTGACCTGACAAGCTCAGAGAAGGCCCGCATGGCAGCCTTGCAAACTCAAAGACCTAAAGTAATCACAAAGGATGGTCTGAAATTAAAACTTTTTAACTGAAAGCAGTTTATGATGGGTAGTCATGTCCTAGGCTGGCATCTTCCTCTTTACCTTAACTGAGCTGTCTTTTTCCTTTTTCTGGACCCCTCAAAGCACAGGCACCACTCTGTGGAGACCACAAATCCCCTCACTGTTATTGAGTTAATTGTTGACTGTTAACTATCCTGTACCCACCTATGTAAAAGATATATGCTCCTTATTATTTTACTTTTCTTCCAATCCCAGAGGTTTCCCTGCTTTGCTTTCTCTCACCTCCCTAATCTATCAATAGTGGGTTTCATGTAGCCCACTGCATCTGCTCTTTTGATTGTAATGTATAAAATACGGTGCAAAACTACCATTCTCTGGAGCATTATCTTAATCCATTGAGATTTTGCTTCCCGGCAATTGTAGACAGTTTGGCTCAAATAAACTCATAAAAATTCTCTACAGGTTTGAATGTTTCTTACATTGACAGGAGAAATAGGAGTTGGGGTAGAGGGTGATAGAGTGGAAATGGTTCTTAAAGGAAAGAACATGAATAAAAGGTAGCTCAGTATGATAGTACTTGCCATACTGAATTTAGATGATCATTTCATGATTAGGATGAGGCAGAAGATAAGGTTAAAAAGAGAGATGACCATTTCATGATTAGGATGAGGCAGAAGATAAGGTTAAATAGAGAGATGACTTGCCCTAGCTGGCTTGGCTCAGTGACTAGAACGTTGGCCTGAAGATCAGCCTGCAGACCAAAGGGTCCTGGGTTTGATTCCGGTCGAGAGCACATGCCAGGGTTTCAGGCTTGATCCCGTGCATGCAGGAGGCAGCCGATTGATTCTCTATCATCATTGATGTTTCTATCTCTCTCCCCCTCTTTCTTCCTCTCTGAAATCAATAAAAATATATTTAAAAAATACTACTGACCAATAAGATATTAAAAAAGAGAGAGAGATGACTTACTAGCTAAATATTTTACTGAATTTTTGGTTAATTCATACAAAGTAGTAGGCCCTTATATTATAAATGAAGCAGTAAAACACAAAGGAAAAGTGACATGTCTAAGAACGTAATGAAAAGCAATAAGTAAAATTAGAAATTTTAGGTAAAGATATTCTTACTTAATTTATAGAACTACATCATTTCATTTAGCCTGTGTTCAATTTAAACTCCACAGCCCCTTTTGTTCAAGAGACATTGTGGGTTCTAGAAAGGTAGGTGAGGACCAGATAGTAAAGGATCTTGAAGGTCATGATGAGCAGTTTAGACTTTATTCTCCAGAAATTCATTTCTTATATAAGAATCATGGCATGGTTAGGGCTATCTGTAGACAGACAATTCTGAGAGCAATAGGGAGTAAGGACTAGAAATAGAAGAAAGAGAAAAATGGCCAGTGAAGAGATTGCTGCAGGAGTCCCAGTAGCAGATGGTAGAAGTCTGACTTGGGGCTAGCACAGCAGATTTGAGAAGACACCCCAGAGACAGGTCTAATATGTTCCAGAGAATGACTGAATTGAGTCCTGTTGACTGTGGTTTTTTGTGCTACTCTCTATGCAAACACAAATTAGGCAAGACCTAGTTTATAACAGTTTACACAAAAAAGCCCACAAATAGGCAATGACTATAGAGTATAAAGCAATTTTGGACTTAAAAAGAGGACAGTGTCCAGAACAAGGAAGTTAATGGTCCTGCTATTCTGAACTGTTTGATCTTTGTCAACATTATGCTTTTACAGTAACCTTTTTTTTTTCTCCCCGTTTGATTGTTTAATTAAGGACCAAGTAACAGAGGAGGAATCCAAGAAGATATCATTAAAAACCAACTGTGAAAGCTGGGAGTATCTGGCTTGATAAAGAGAACACTAGGATGCATCAAACTCATCATCTCTCTCCTTCTTTCCTCTGTTGCAATGAAAGAAGCACCTCTTCTTTATCACAGGCCAGTTTCCTCCACTTTGCGCTCATCATTGCGTTGTTTGTCTCCTTTCAAGGACTTCCATTTAAAAGTATCTCTTTTCTGACAGTGTCTGTCTCTCTCTCTTCTAGGCTGCTCTCATTAGGTATAAACATGATCTGGAATCTCTCATCTTTAAAAAATGCTGGGGGAGATGAGATCATGCTGCTGATACACTGAGTCCATGTGCCTACTTTCCCCTCCAGCTCTTGACCTTCCAGCTCTTGACCCTAGAAATCATAGAAATGTACATTTGTATATACTTCAGTCCAAAATAGCACTGGAAAACAAGATGGGATCAATTGGTGGATCTAAAATGATGAGGAGTCACTTGAAGGGAAAAAAAAAGCAAATGAGATTAAATTGATGGAGAATCCACAGTCAAAATGCATGCCATTCTAAATAGGTCTGAGGTTAAAAAGTAAATCACAATATAAATTTTAGTGTATTTAGAAATGAATGACAACATGAGACTATTGCATATCAAAATCCATGGGATGCAGCCAACAATTCACAGAGATATTTTATAGCCACAAATAATTTTTTAGAGAAAAAAGGTTAAAAGTGAACTAAGCATTCAATTTAAGAAGCTTTAAAACACATACACATCAATGAATTTCTATTGCTGTTAAAATAACAATAAAACCTGGTAGAACCAATTAATAGAAGCCTGTTATTTGAAAAGGTGAACAAAGAAATAAAACCTTTAGTATCAAGATAAAAAAGAGAAGATGTAAAAAAATACCATTAGGAATGAAAATGGGAACAAAACTACAAATAAGATTTTTAAATTATAAGCTAAATTCGACATAATTTATTAATAAAATTCAAAATCTAATTGAAATGAATACTTTTAAAGAAAACAAAACACTGAAATTTATTAAAGTAGTAGAAAAGCTAAACCAACCAATAACAATGGGACTACTATAGACAGAAAATCTACCCTTAAAAAGACATAAGGCCCATTTGAAATGAGTATATTCTACAAACCTTGAACATGACTCGTCCAGAAAAAAGTTAGAAAGCCCCCCCAATTTACTTTATGAGGCTAATATAACCCTGATACAAAAAACAACCACCACAAAGCAAAACAAACACAAACAAACAGAAAAAAAACTAAGAATAATATAAATAGAAAAAACCCTAAGTCAGTCTTACCGGACACAGATGCAACTTTTATAGAGAAAATATGAGCAAGTTGATTACAGCTGTATGTTAAAAATATTGATATATCCTGATTAAGTAGGGCTCATTCTAGGAATTAAAAAATGGTTCAGTATTAGAAAAAGCCACTAATTTAGTTATCTGCAATAAGAGAGCCAATTTAAAAAAATTTTAGGAGAGGCTCCCCCCAAAATAGGCATGCAATGAAACTTAGTATTTATTTCTGTTAAAAGGAACAAATAAAAACTTTAGAAGCAAACAAGAAGTAGAAATTTACTTAATTTAAAAAAGGATGTTTCCCAGAAACCTACAGTAATCATCATACTAATGAAGAAATATGAAAAGCATTCCCATCTAAGTGAGGGACAAGAAAAGGATAATCATTACCCCTGGCCATGGCTGTAGTTTGTGACAGTGCAGTCTTGGGATCCAAGCAGCTTCGAACCTGGAGACCAGTGACCTCGGGCACCTTCACACTATCTGGGAGCAGATAATGCAATGAGATGGTGCCGTGTTAGCCCACCTGCTGTATCTGGGGTAACAGGCAGGGACTGCATGTGTCCTTTGAGGCACTGGTGCGAGATGCAGGGTCCCAGGGCAGCAACTGTGATCCTCAGGGGTCAATGGGGGAAAAAGGGGGCCTTAAGTAATACTGTCAACAACAAAGATTAAAAAAAAAAAAGCACGTGGAGCA